AACTCTTGCTGAAGCAGCAGTGGGTCGCTTGCAGTGCTGCATCTTAACCCCTTGCGCCACCAGCGGGGGCCTTGTGTCACTTCCAGTCTGGGACTCTGAGCAGGAGGCACTGTTTCAGGCCCCATGGAGTGAGTACCTTGTAAGCCTGACTACTTGCTTGTGAAAGATGCTAGATCCCTGTCAAGGACCGTTGTCCTTGGAGCTGTGGTAAAGGTTTGAGCTACTATGTGCCCGTGTCAGTACGGAGATGCAGCAAGGAGCCCACCCTGCTCCCAGAAAGGTTCTTCCTCCTGCTGTTAAATAGTAGAGCCAGCAGGTGTCAGGCCCTAATAACTTTATAACCTAAACACAGTGGCTGAGTTTCCTGGTGGCCTATTCAAAAAGGAAAAGAAGCATGGAAACCTGAAATCTCTGGCAAGGTTTAGTTGTATAAAAGGGGAGGAAGGGCTAGAAAACAGCAGATAGGAAGAAACCAGTTCAAGGCAGCAGTGAGGTAAGAACAATAAAATCCCCAAAGAGGGAGATGTCTGAACTTAGTACACTGAGATACTGAAGAGCGGGAGCCATGGAGATGGGGGTTATTCATTCCACTCAGGGCCCCTGGCCTGGGCCTGCTTCTCCTCCCCTCTCTGGAGAGCAGGGTCCAGGCTGTGTCGACTGATAAGGCGGGTGACCCTCCCCGGTGCCTGCAAGTTCTGGGTTTGCGTTCACTCTCGGTGCAGTTTGTGCTTTTGGCTGGCTCCCTCCTGTCTCTGTCTCTCCCACCTGGGCTCTCGGCCCACTCTGGATTTATTCCCTTGGATGGGTGGGACTTGCTTAACACCACGGAAAGATTCCTGGAAACATGTTGTGAAACTCGATGTGGGTAAACTGAACCCCGTTCTCACTGCCCTGGCTCAGGTTAAGTGACTTAGGGTTACAAAGACCTTATCACACACTGTAAGAATCTCTTCTCTCTGAGGTCTACCCGTATTTTTATGTAGCATTTGGGCAAGCAGGAGGAGCATGCTAAAGTTTAGTGAGGCCGGAGGGTTGATCTTTGACTCTTCATAATCGCTGGCAGCTACCAAGAATCAGGTTCATGTCTGAGTGTCTCAGGCAAGGACCCGCAGGCCCATGGTTCTGTCTGGGCCTGGATGCCCACTTCTCAGAAGCCGGGGGGATGGCTGTGCAGGGAGGCCCCTTCTGTGCCCCAGAAGCCCCATCCTTACCCCTTAAGAGCCTTTCACGGACATTAGGGTGTCATTTTAGTCTTGAAACAAACCTGCAAAGAACTCAGAGGTGGGGGGCATTTTTCTCCCCATTTTAGAGAAGGAAGAGGCTCAGAGACTTGCTTAAAGTACCCAAGAGCCAGCAAGCTATGAGCAGAATAAGCACAAGAACCAGGATTTTGTCTGGTTTTTCTCCAGTTCTCTGCCCTGTGCACCTCCCTCTGCTTCTTTCACTTGAGCTCCACATGTTGGGCGCAAGCCATTTTCTCTGGAAAAGTGGCCAGGTTCTCTGTAAAGCTTAACCTCAGCTGTGGCACCCTTGTGTTATGGAGACTAGCAAGTATCCCCTGGAAGAGTCTAGGACACCCAAGAGGTGTGCTTTGGACACACTGCAGCCCAAAAGCTTGATTTTACAGGTGGGAGCATTGAGACCAGAGAAGTCAAGTCACTTGCCTGAGATCACACAGCTAATTCTCAAAAAAACCTATTGTACAGATTCCCAGTCTGGTCCCCTCGCTCTCCACCAGGTCCCACGCGTCTGTTCTCTGAGGCTCTTGGCTCTATCCAAGAGGAGCGGGAGGCAGAGGCAGTGGGGAGGGCAGGAAGCGGTTGGTTTGTGTCAGTCACAGCTGCTCATTTGGCTAACCCGCCTCGTGCTCCTTCACCCCATTTCTCCATCTCTCCATTTTTCCAGCCCTGAGCCATCAGCCTCATCTTCTGCTGGCCAGAGGGCAGGATTTGTGAGCCAGAGGATGTCCTCTGTTCATTGTAAGGGGCGGGGGGTGGGGGGCCGTCCCACTCTGGGAAAGGACTCGAGAGGGTAGACTGCAGGAAAGGCACTGCAAAGCGGGGAAGTTGGGGTGGGAGCAGCAGGGCTGGCTTAATTAATTCTGTGGGTCCATGTGACTGGGAAATAAATCATGATTTTAAAAGTCTTTTTTTTTTTTTTTTTTTTTTAAAGCAGGCTCAGTTCTGGTCCTTTTCCCATTTTCCTTTGGTGAAAGAAAGGAAGGTCTTCTTATTTGGGGGAGGGGGTGAAGAGGACAGGCAAAAGCTTGGGGTGTGAGGGCTCAGTTTCTAGACCCAAGGAGTCTTTGTCTGTTCCCCCACCTGCCCAGATGTCCTTACCCCAAGGGCCAAACAGATCCTTCAAGATCATTTTTGAAAATATCATCCAAGCAGCAAAGACCTTGTGAGTGTTTAGGTGGGCTGAGGGTCCCCACTTCTGTCTCTGAGGGCTTGGAAGCCTCTCCCCCTTTGATGAAGACAACAGCTCACCCTCTCTGACGGCCCTCATCAGAGATGGGTTGGAAAATCACTGCCACAGCCCAAACCCAGCCTAGTATGGGCCCACAAAGCCCAAAGCACTGATTCTGTGGCCTTTCACAGAAAAGTCTGAGGACTTCTCTTCCAGCAGAATAGTTCTTCCTGGGTTTCCAGGCACAAACAAAACAATTTCCCTAACCTCACTGAAAGAAGTTAGCATTTCCTAAAAGATATCCTCCTTAAAGACACCAGGAAGAAACCAAAAAAGAAGGTCTAGAGAGTAACAAAGGCAGCAGAGATGCAGAGAGAAGTGGGTACCTCAAAACTGGGACCCACAGGGTCAGGTGGGACCCGATGGGGCTGAGGAGGGCCTGGCGCTATAGCTGCCTGGGGGTGCGAAGGGCTTTGCTGAGCAGCAACCCACTTGGCTGCATCTGGGGTACAGCAATAGGAAGCTTGAACCCCAGCAAGATGCAGAAGCAGGAGATGATGCCCAGCCTTCCCAGCGGACACCCACTTGCCGTGTCCCTGAGAGCCTTGGTAGTCCTGGGTGCGTCGGCTTCGTCTCAGCTCTGCCAGAGAGCTGGGCCAGCACAGCTTCTGCTCAAGGAGGCCTCTGACTGCTAAGCCTGCTTGGAGGGTCTGGCCACAGACCTGGTTGTCTCACGATGCAGTCTCCCAGAGCCCCTCTGCCCCCAACTCTAGCTGGCTAGGTGTCTAAGGGTGTCACGGGGTGCTTCTCTGTTTCCTAGGGCATCCAGCATCAAGCGCCATCTCACTCTCCTTGCAACGCTGGTTAACCCAGGAAACTGGGCTCACACTCAGCAAGCTCATGGGAGATGTTGCCAGTGGCGGCTAATTGCAAATGAACCAATAGATCCAGAAAGGTTAAATGGTCTCCTTAAAGGGACAAAGCCTGGATTTAAATCCAGACCGTCAGGCTTCAGGGGCCTAGCCAAATCTGTCCACCAGAACCCCTCTCTGTTGGTTTCCAGTGAGAGCTGGAGGGGCCAGGCTCCCAGTTCTGCATAGGGAGCCAGCCTGCATTTAGAAGGTGACTTGCTGAGTGAAGGAAAGCTAGGTGCTTTAAGTCGTGTGTGGTAGGGAGCTCTGATCACTCTGATCTCTGTGTCCTCACAAGACATGGATACTGCACGTGCTGTGTGACCCTAGTCAAGTTACTTAACCTCTCTGGTTCATTTTCCTCATCTGAAAAATAGTGGGAGTAATTTTTCATTAAGGTTTAATGTGAAAAACAAGTGAGTTACTATATGTAACTCTCACAATGCCTAGCATATAGTAAATGCGCTTTAGACATTGTTGAGTATTATTGCCATGTGTTGTGGGTTATTGTTACTGTCTGCTTTTGGGTCAAAAAGCTCTCGCAAAGATTTGCCTCAGGCTTGCATCCCAGTGTGTCCTTCTCCCTCAGACCACTGCAGCCACCACTGTGTGGCTTTGGAGACACTGAACATCTGGCAGAAAAAGCACCAGCTGAGTGTTCTGAGATCTGGCTCCATTTGCACCTCTGCTTTATGCTTTTGGGCACTTAGGCTACTTACTTCCCCTCTCTGAACTCAGATTCCTTCCCTGTAAGAGGGGCCAGGCTCGAGAGGCCCAGCCACCTCCAGGCATTGTCCTGGGGAGAGAATGGGCCACTTCATATTACGGGTAGACCACTAATGCCTTCTGTATGTAGACCTTCTGATGGTCCAGAAATGTCCGTGCCATTGGCTAAGAGCTTTCTGCCTCATTATGTCACTCTGTCACATCTCATGATCATGTTATTCTCAATACTTGGACTTCGCTCCTTCTCCTCAGCAGGAAAGGAACTTTTCACCATATTTCACAGATGAGGAAACTGAGGCCCAGATCAGACACAACTGTTTGAGCCTGGAATAGAGAGCCCTGGTCACCTCTGGCCCCGGGAGGCCCACTGCAGTTGGGAGTGAGACTCTAAAATGAGGCTTCTTTCATCTGCCAGGACCAGTCTTCCTCAGCCAACTGGGCAGGGCGGGGGCTGTGCAAGACCATGACGCCCAGCCCATGTGGTGCCCCAAGGCTGGCCACCTGCCTGGGGCTCCCCAATTGATGTCTGAGTTCCAGATCCAGGCCACTGGGCCCCCTGGGCTCTAAGAATCCTTGGAGCCACCAGGCCCTACAGGGGCCAGCCACCCACGCGGCCAGAGATCAGGGCAGGCTGCCTTCTGCAGGGCAGCGATAACCCACGGGCCACATTCCAGGCGGGGATGGTGCAGGATCCTCTGTGCTCTGGAGGATTCCTGCGTTTCAGCAGACACCTCATTATCCCTGTCCAGCGGGCTGTGGCTCAGTGCCTCTGTAATCACTCGGCCCACGCCCAGGGCCAGGAAATCACTCCCCTCCCCTCCCCTCCCCCGCCTTCCGCCTGCCAGACTCAGTGCCTGTGGCCACTTGCGGGTGGGACCTCCTGCCTGCCTAACGTTTTTCTCTCCTCTTCTGATTCTTCTCTCCTGCTGCTGCTTGCTCTCGGGGACTGGGAAGTGTGGCTGTCCAGCTGGGCTGAGTCTCCCAAGAAGGACGTAACAGGTACTGCCACAGCGTGCGTGTGCGAACATGTGTGTGTGTCCCAGGCATGCGTGGGGGCTGGTGCCCACGGCCGCTTTCCCCATGCTTCCCTGTGGTGTGTGGCAGCCCTCTCTTGCCCTTCAGCTGGCTCTGCCCTCTGCCTTCCTGCTTGGCCCTGTGGTGGTCTCAGATCCAAGCTTGGAGCTCCGTGGTGGGTGAGGACCACCGAGCAGAGTGTGAGCAAGTGCGCTCTTGGCCCAGCTCTGCCGTGCCCTGCTGTGCCACCCTGAGAGGATGTCAGAGCCGCCCTCCACCCTCCGGTGGCTGCAGTGCCACCCCGGGGAGCCTGGCAGACATAAGTACTCAGGTGATGCTGGGGTGACCATGACCTTAACTCAAATGGCCATCCTATGGGACAAGCCAGCCAGGGCTTATTAATCCTGCTCTGGCAGCTGGGCTGAGATTGAGAGCTAAAGTCCCTGACATAGGAAGCTGGTCTCCAGCGAGGCTTCCTGGGGGGCTGAGGCAGAGGATGGGGAGTCCTGTGACTCTGTCGCCGGCGGTAGCCCCCAAGGTCCAGAGCTGGAAGCCGCCTCTGGCCTCAGGAGGCTTTCCATGCTGCTGGCCTCAGAGGGCCCTCAGCAACACCGCCTGTGTCTGGACAGAGCCAGGTATTATGGCCTGCCCTTGGCCTTTGTCTTTCTGGACAATGGCAGAAAAGCCTGCACAGCAGGGTTTCTGCTGCTAGAGGGAGATGGTGGTAGGGAGCAGCCCTTTCATTTCTGCGACCTCCTTCTCAGCCTAAATCTGAGAGCGGCCAGCTAGGCTTGGAAGTTAGGCAAGAAGGCAAGAGTCAGGGGTGGGGGCTTGTGGTCAGCCCCAGAGGCAGAGCTGTGGGCTGGAGGACTGGAGGAGAAAGCAGGCATGAGGGCCCTGGAGCTGGACTCAGCCCCTTGCTGTTGGCCTCCGGTCTTGCCTGTGCTGAGCGCCTGGGCCTGAGCTGATCTCTGGACTCCTGTTCCTTTTTCCCCTCTCCATGAGCCAGGGAGCCAGCGCCCTCTTGGCCCACAACAATACGTCTTATTCACCAGACCTATAGCCTGGCTTCCCAGGGGCCCATGGAGAGGCGGGCGGGCTGGGCTGGCCAGGAGGAGGGACCGGTTGGAGTGACTAGGAGGAGACGTCAGGGTTGAGGGGTGGGGGTCACGGAGAACAGGGGAGCCCAGGACAGGGTCCCCAGAAGATGTGATGGGTGGGGGTCATGGAGAACTGGGGAGCCCAGGGCAGGGTCCCCAGAAGACGTGAGGTCTCAGGATGAACTCAGCTGTCTGCAGTGAGTGGTTGGTGGGAATCAGTTTGGCTAGGGACAAGCAGCCAGATTCAGAATCCAGGACCAGAGTTTGGGCAAGCCATGGCTTCTCTCTGGGTCTTGGTTTCCCCATGTGGAATGTCGGAGGGTTCAAGGAGATAGGACTGATGCTCGAGATGCTTGTAGATTGGGGTCCTTGGGCTGCCTGGTCAGGCATCTCCCCAGCATGCACCCGAGGGGCTGTCTGTCGGGGGTTGGGGTCTGAGAGAGACCTGTGCCGGGACAGAGCTGCACCTCTGGTGCCTGCAGCCCTTCCTCTGGGCTGCCTGGTGGCTCTGAGGTTACAGAGGAGCCTAACTTCTCCTACTTCTCCCCAATCTCCCATTTCCGGTGTGTTGCATAAAGCAGTTTACACAGGTATGAACCCTGTCACCTCATTCCAAGCATGAACAACCCCATGCAGCTGACAATTATTGGCCCTGTTCAGATGAGGGAGCTGAAGCTCAGAGAGGCTAAGTGTCCTCCTCAGGTCACAGAGCTAGTGTGAGGAACGCAGGCGCTGGGCCCCGCCCTCAGGCTCAGGCTGCATGTTCTCACACATGAGTCTCAGGCAGGCTTGTCCACCGCGCCGTGTCCTGTGGCTCCAGCCCTGCTTGGCTGCTCTCATTAGTGGTACTCCTGTGTGAACTGCCCACGGGGAGCAGTGCCACCAGAGCCAGCAGCAGACAGAGCAAGTGCTGTGGCTGGAGACTGCGGAAGGTGAGGGGAAGGTTGGGTAGGTTGAGGCAGGCGAGGAAACAGCTGAGCAGAGGCTTAGAGGCGAGGCCCGCAGGGGCCCCCGTGACATGACAGGTCTGTGTTGCATCATGAATGCTGGCTGGAATGGGGGTTGTGTGTCAGGGACTGTGGGGAGCTCTGACTGGCAGGAAAGACTGAGCTTGAATTTAGCTTTTATTCTGCAGGTGATGAGGACACCCCCCCCCCCAAGGTGGTAGAGCGGGGACTCACTTGGCAGAAGCCTCATTTAGAAGTTTGAGTTGGCAGCCAGGACCAGGCAGGAGCCAGAGGCCATCCAGGTGGCTGATGTGCAGAGGGGGCTGGGCTCCAAGAGGCTACCAGGACACGGGCAGGACCAGGGGGTCTGAGCCAGGCACGGGGGTGCCGTCGCTGAAGGGGTGTTCACGAACTCCCTTCCAACGCGGGAGGGCCCTCCTCTCGAGATCCACCCGTTCCCCTGCCGCTGCCAAACCCTCCCCATCTGAAGACCCGAGGCTCCTGCCACTCCCTGTCTGCCCCCCCCCCAGCGGACTCCTCCAGCCCCCAATTTTCCAGGCTCTGACTGGGAGGGGATCCAGGCAGCCTCTGCAGGATGACATCACCCAACACCCGCCCGCCCGCCGAGTGGTTTCTCATCTGGATACCTGCTCCCAGCTCACGCCTGCCCGGGCAGCACTGGGCAGGAAACACCTAAGAGCAGATGCCAGTGAGAGTGAGGTGCCTCGAGCCTGCGTGTACTGGGGAGGGGCAGGGCGCAGCCCGCAGGACGGAGGACTTGTGTCCATCTGTGCACCCCACAGCCTTCGAGAGCTGTGCTGCCGCCTGTCTTCTGCGCTCAGGAATGCCTGGAGTCTGTTTCTTGGGTTGGGTCTTTTTTTTTTTAACTTTTTCCTGTCCCAGAGTCTCGAAAGCTCTGGCCAATTTTCCAAGGGGCAGGCGTGGGGGCGAGGGTATGTGGCTTTTCCCCTCTTTGAAATATTGCCTCCGATGTCTTTGGCTTGGATCAAAATAAGTTGTTGTCTCTTCACTCCCCAGCACCTTGCTTGTCCCATGTTGCAGCTTCTGGCCACAAACCCATGGCTCCTTGCTCCTGCTTGCCTCTGACTCGCATCCCCCTCTCCCTTCCAGATTCAGTTGTCTGGTTTTCCCAGACTTCAGAGGGAAGGCACTGCCTGGCTTATCCACAAAAGCTCCAAACAGACCTCGCAACCACCGTGTGTGTGCCTGGTTAGCATTTCGCCCGTCCAGTCGACACGGGACGGAGCGCAGGTCACCTGGGCACTGGCATGTGATCAGCAGAGGAGGCAAGACACGCCTGTCTTTGTCAAGCAGCGCCTGTGTCTGGGGATGTGCCCGGGCAGGACCCTTGGAGACCAGGGCCCCGTACTCTGTAGGCCGGGTGCAGTGTGTGGGTGTCGGGTGGCCTCAGAGAAGTGGCTTTCCCTCCCGTGCCTCAGTCTGCTGTGTGCCCAGCTGTTGTGAGGCCCAGGAGGCAGCCAGTAAGGCCGTGGCTGCCTCCCCACCCATAGTGGGTACCAGTGGAGGCACCCTGTGAGCTGGCGATGGCATCGGGGCTCCCTCAGGATTTGGAAGCTCTGTGCCAGCTGGGAGCTGCTTTCTGGTGTTTGCATCCTGAGTTCTCCTTTGCCACTCACTGGAGAGTGGGGCCCTTGTGTGCCGCAGGGCAGCGGCTGCCCTCATGTGCTGGGTGCTCTTGGCTGTGCAGGCACGCCGTCCTCCCAGGGGCACAGTAGGAGGCAGCCCCTGTCAGCGCCCTGCCCACTCTGTCCGGCCGGCAGGGGCCGGCGCAGAAGCTGGCCGCGTCAGTGAAGTGCAGAGCTGGGCTGGGCCTGAGGCCCAGCTGTTGGTGGCAGCTCTGCCTGAAATACAGCCCTGGCTTTGGAGGGGCTGAGCATGAGCCCATCCATGTGGCAGGCCTCAGCAGGGGCAGGGGCCTTCTGGGTGTCCTGAGGGCCGAGTCGGAGCTGCGGGGGGCTCACCTCGCAATGTGCTTCTTGCGCCCCATTGCCCCTGGCCTAGGTTGGATGGAGTCTCCAAGTGTGGAAGCAGCGCCTCTCGGCCCTGGCTATGCCTGTGTGCGCAGGGAGAGGGGAGGGCGTGGAAAACAGCCCAGACCAATTAAGCCTGGAGCTCTGGGAGCAGGGCCCAGGCACCAGCATTCTCTGAAAGTCTCCCAGGCCGTTCCGTGGGATCAGGTTAAGGACCGTTGTGCTAGAACAGGATGCCGGAAACGGGAATCAGAGGCCGTTTTGTAATGGGAAGAGAAATGGGGAGGAACCTGAAATACTAAATTTGGTCCCCACCATAGCAGCCATGGAGCTGGGGCAAGCTTCTTGCCTGCTCTGAGCCTCCGAATTGAGAAAGGGGAAGTGAGAAGGGTGTTGTAAGGATGGAAGGGGACAGTGAGTGCCTGGCACAGCACGTGGCGAGTCAGACTCAGGTGTTCAGGAATGCAGCTGCCAGCTAAAGCATGACGGGGCCATGGGGAGCTTGGATCCTTCTCAGCTGTTTTTGTAGCCGAGCTCGTTTCTCAAAGCCCCCAGCCTTTCGGAGACTACAGATGTGTAGGCTGGCAAGTACACTTGAAGAAGTTTGCCCGGAATTCCCTTTGGGCTGGCTGGGGGTAGTCTAGGAAGGCTTCCTGTAGGAGGCCCCTGGCTTGTGTTTTCTTTCGACTCCTCGCAGGGCACATCTTGGGTGTTTTATGCCCAACAATGACAGTGAGGTTGGGGTAGTGCGGCAGAGAGAAGTAGGCGGCATGTCCAGTCCCGAGAGCCAGTGAGCTCTAGCTGGGCACCCAACTCAATGAATATTGCACTGGTCCAGCAACTAAGGTCAGAAACCTTGCTTGTTCCTGGGAACCTCTTGCCCAGCTGCTCTCCCTCTGCTGAGCCCCAATTTTTGACCCTTCAGGCGCCAGGAAACTGAGAGTGTTGCTGGAGGCTGCATGCAGCTCACAACCGCGGCACCTAAAGGCAGAGGGAGACTGAGTCTGTGTGTTACAGAAGGCAGCCGCCAGGCCACACCAGTGCCCTTCTGTGAGTGGGCTGGGCACGTGTGCCCGGGGCTGGGGGGGCAGTGCCAGGCCCCTGGGCTTGGTGGCAGTGCCTTGGGGAGCCTGAGGGACAGGAACATAGGATTGAACTTGAGGAAAAGTTGATGGGGGTGTGGGCAAGCTGGGCTCCCTGGCCCTGGCGCTGGGACTTTCTTCTTGGGTTTCAAGTAAACAGTCTCAGCCCTCCTCCCCCTCCCCTGCCTCCACCCCCAGCTCCTCATTCGATGGGTCTCATGTGTTTCTATTTAAGGGTTGCAGTAAACCCCAGTGATTGGCGGCCTCAAACCCTCTTGACTTCTCGCCTGGGCTCCGCTCTGGAGTTGTTCTCTCCTGCTCGCTCGCTCCCTCTCCCTCCCGAGGGGAGGACTGCTGACTTTCTTTCTCTGGGCTTACAGGGGCTGGGAGGAGAGGCAGGAGCCCCCTCCTTGCCTTGCCTTCTTCTCTCTCCTCCGCTCTGGCCTCCGTCCTCATGAGCCGCCCCCCGGCGGGCTCATGGCCCTCCCCTCACGCCCCTGTGGCTGGGGGGTCGGGAGAGACCAAGTCTACCCCAGGCCTCTCCTCAGACTCCCTCAAGCCGGGCTGTGACTGACTCACCACAGAAGGCTTTTCCGCTCCTTTTTCTTAGCCTCCGACTCCATCTCTGCCTCTCTCCTCCCCGCCCCCTCCTCTACCCCCTGGCTCCCCATGTCCCCCGGACCCCGCAGTTCGGCGGGCCGGTGTGGGGCCTTGCTATATGGCCTGTCCTTCGGGCCCAGCGAACTGCGAGCCCTGGCCGCGGGCTGCCCCTCAGAGCAGCACTGGCGACGGAGCAGCCTCCCCCGAGGCCCATGGACCGAGGGCGCCCCGGCCGCGGGGCCATGGCCGGCCGCTGGCTCACCGCGTGCTTTCTGCCCTCGCCAGGTGCCGACACCAACGCCGAGCCCATGATCCTGGAACAGTACGTGGTGGTGTCCAACTATAAGAAGCAGGAGAACTCGGAGCTGAGCCTCCAGGCCGGGGAGGTGGTGGATGTCATCGAGAAGAACGAAAGCGGTGAGTGCTCCGGCCCACTGGCCGCCGGCCCTTGGGCTTCGGCCCGGCTCTTCGGAAGGCTGGTTTTTGTTCCCTTCCTCCTCCCCCACCTCTGCAGCTCTACGTTATTTCCATCTGGCGGGGAGAGGGCCGAGGAGGCTGAATTTTCCCCTGTTGGTTTGGGCTTCAGGCCAGCAGTTTGCCTGGTGGTGGAAGAATGTCTCCCTGGCTGGGGGTAATTAACTGACTTGTGTTAATGAAAGGCCAGGGTGGGGGCTTTGGGTGTAACTGTCCAGTCCCTGCTCAGGGTCCCTGTGTCCTCCGAGACGCATGGGGAAGGTGGCTTCCTGCCCAGGGGTGCCCCGCAGAGTTCCGCACTTTGGGGCCATATTCGAAGCCAGGGTCTGGGCTGGGGCTGGAGAACCCCAGCTGTCTGGCTGGGAAGACAGGCTGCGGTGCCTGTCAGGCCCTCAGGTCCCCGGCTGGTTGTCTGGGGGACAGCACAGCCTGTGGTGGTGAGCTAGCTGCCCACTGCTGAGCCACAGTCACCAGGTCCAGGGAGACAGTCCTGCCGGGAGCCGGACAAAGGACGGGCCTGGGCCCAGGGTGGGCCCTTCAGCAGCCACCCCATCACTGGGAGCCAAGGCTTTGTCTTGTCCGGGCCTGCACTGAGGGCTGTCCAGGGCCTGCTGGTTCTCACTGAGTGCTCCACGCCCTTGACAGCTGGCGCTCCGCAGGTGGAGAGAAGAGCGCCAGAGTGTTGATCTGTGGTTCGCCTGTTCAGCCCCCGGCAGGGCCTGGGTCAGGGTTGGGGCCCAAGTCACTAGCCAGCAGTCTGCCCAGAGCCTGCTGGGCTGTTTTGTTTTAGTTTCAGTTTGCTGTGAGGGACAAGGGGGTGGGGTGGGAGGGGGAAGGCCCCTGTGCACTGGAACCTCTCTGGGCTGAGTTTAGAGGACACTCCCCGAGGGGAGGTGCCTGCTTCTCTTCGCCCCCCTCTGTTGTTCCCTTCGGATATTCTGAGCCCTGAAAGGCAGCAAACCAAAGGATGTCTGTGCCAGCCCTAGAGTGAGTGGGGCACACAGGGACTGAGAGGAGAAGCAGATGGCGGGTGATGTTCCTGAACCCCGATCTATGCCTATGGCAGGAGATAGCTATAGGGGTGCTGCCGAAACCCCTATAGTAAGCTCAGACTCCTGCTGCAAGAGTAAGCTCAGACTAAGAGAGTAAGCTCAGACTCCTGCTGCAAGAAGCTCAGGAAACACCTTCCCCAGCAAGGAGGTACCATGGCCCTCCTGAGTCCGAGTGCTTCGCAGCCTGCTGCCTCTCAGAGGGAGCCCTGCCCCCAGGCCTGCAGTCACTGCCGATGTGCTCTCCTCCTGGAGGAGCCATAGCCCAAGAATAAGGCGTGGACAGGACGCTTCCCGCCAGGTGCCGACACTGGTCCTCCACTGCCCCTTCATCTGCAGCCTCTGTCAGCGGTACCAGCTGACACCACCTCCACACCCCCAGGGAAGCTGGCATGGTCAGCACCCCAGGAACGCAGGGAAGAGATCTCCAATGATGGAACTGGAGGAGCTTTTGGAGCTTGCTAATGTGGGGCCATTGCTCCCCATTAGGTCAGGACTGTTCAGAAATGGCATTCCAGCTTATGGTCCCCTCACATCCCTGTGTCCCTCACACAGCTGTGCATAACACTAGAGCCAGGGACGAGAGAGCCCCTTTGCCTCTGGGTACCAGTCACCCACCAGGATGGCTGAAAAGGGGACCCCACACTAAAGGAAGAAGTCAGAGTGCTCTGAGACTCCCTGGTTCCCCATCTCCCGTCCCACACCCTAGGAACACTTGGGGTCTTGCCTAGGAGTGTGGGAGGAAGAGCCTTGACAAGGTGGGAGTTTTGTGGTAGGCTTGGCAAAGATGTAAAGATGCCTCCTGTCCTGAGGAATCCTCAGTGGCTCTTTGAGGTGGCTCAGGTGACTGAGCTCAGGGACTCCCCAGAGCAGCCCAGTTTATACACAGACCCTCCGAGCAAGCTGTTCTTCCTTTCCAGAAGCAAGATACTGGCTGGGTGGTGTCAAGTCCCTAGTCCCTTGGGTCCTCAGTTATCTCCTCTATAAATGGTGATAATCTGGCTCCTTGGGAGGAGGGCTGGGGCAGATGACCTCCTAAATCCTCTCCAGGTGGGAAACTCCTCAGGGGCGTCAAGTAGCTAGAGCTTCCCTGACTTCCATGTCTCCTGGAATTTTTTCTTTCCGCTCCATGGGGACCTCTGCTCAGCAGCACGGACTTTGAGTGCTGTGTTCAATGTGCGAGCCCACACTGTCTGTTGCATCAAAATCCAGGAGACCTGGAGTGTTCAACAAGCTTAACCAGAGAAACTAAGTGAGGCTTTTGAACTCTTGAAACAAAGACCTGATTGTGATGGCTTTGACCTTGGGACATTGTGGGTGTGTGGAGGCATTTCCACCAGCCATGTTGGTGCAGCAGCCCCAGTTCGCACCATCCCCACCCCTGTGGCTTTGCCTTGCCCACCTAGAATGAGGACCCTGCCTGTGACTCCTTCTTGCTAGGCTGCAAGTCCCTCCAGTATCCATTGAGGGACCCAGCCACCTCTGGCTCTGCCTGTTCATCAAAGCCCCCGGCTGGGACACCGCCACTAAGAGTTTGGAAGGTGAGGCTGTACCAGTGCTCCATGGTCCATTGGTCTGGAGAAAGAAGTCTGACAGGCAATTCAGAGCCAGTAAACAGTAAACACCAGGTGTCGGCCACACACTTCACATGAATCACTTTACTGCAATCATGGAACAACCCCATGTGGTAGAAGGCACTTTTGTGGCTGCACTAACAGGCTGAGAGGTTAGGTCATTTCCTTAGACTCCAACAGTTGCGATCGCTCCTCTCTGCAGATGACTTAGGGGGAGGGGGCGAATGGACCGATCCCCAGCTGGTGATACTGTGGGCTGGAGACAGATACGGGCTCCTGGGGCCGATCACGAGGCTCCCTGAGATGTCGCTGTGTAAGGCTGGCTCAGTGTCCCTCCTGCTTGTGTAGTGGGAATTCATTTTGTTAACTATTCCTTTGAACGTGGGGACAAAGTTGAGAAAATCTGAGGAAATGGTCACTGGCACTGAGGACAGGCCTATTCCAGGGAATGTAGGTGGACAGAAATCAAAGACACCCAAAGTGGTTCTTGAGCAGACACAAGAAAAGCATTTCTGAATACACAGTGGGTCTGGCTGAGCCAGAAAGACTCTGTCCATCAATCAACAGGGACAAATCTAGCAGCAAGGTGCTGCAGCATGGTTCACTTGGCCAAACAGCAAGGCATGCAGCAGCCATTACTGTCTTGTCCTTGACAGTTTCCCTGGATGGTTTTTTGTAGGACATTATTCTGCCTCAAAGACCACAATGGCTTTACCTTCTAACAGGTTTAACTTCTGGCAGAGTGGTAATAAGGGCTCAATTGCTCTGATTTCGGTGTTGGTATAAGCTGCCTCCAACTTTGCAGGACTGTTTCCTTCTTCTCGGGAGGCTAGGAGAAGAACTGGGGGGATGAGTCAGCAGATGCTCATTTTTTGTTCCTGCCTCAGCTTTCTTTCTCTGAGTCTACTCCTCTCCTGGCACATCTGTAATGCACTGAGGGTTCTTATACTTCCTTTGAGGGACAGAATCTAAGATTAGAGAATCGTGATGGCCAGAAATTTTATGTTCCCCTGGTCCATCCAGGTGAGAAATTGTACAGATAAGAAAACCGAGCCTTGGGGAATTTGAAAATCTTCAGTCCCCTCCAAAGTCAATGCTTTAATCCCAGTTATGAGAAGAAGACAAATCTACTCAGACTTTCTCAAGAGATTATTGAAAGGCTGCAGGAAAATTTCACCAAACCCAAGTGTGGGTGGTATATCCCAGCCTCACAGGGACTGGGAATCAGAAAGTCAGCACAAGTCAAAGACTCTTATTTCCGTCTCTCTAGAGTCCTGTGTGTTTTTAAAGCCCAGCTGTGATGTTCTCCTAACTGTACACCAGCTTCCCTCTTCTTCCTGTTGACCCATAACGGCAGCCTATCCACCTGTTGTTGGTTTGGCACTGCATGTCTTCCTACCAGAGAAAACCACCAACAACTGAGATTGGCCATTGTTCATTTGTGTTCAAAATTGGAAGTTTGAATCTGATTGGTCCCTGTCCAGCCAATAGATTGGCAGACCATAGATCAGATGTCTATCGCTGGGCCAATCAGCTATGTCCAGAAGTCATGGGGTATAAACATGGCTACCTAGCCAACTTAGCAATTTTAGCAGTGGCTGTAGGAGGTCAGGTTTAAAAAAAAAAAAAAGATATAGAGATGTAAAGTATCCAGAAACATGTTCATACCATTTTTTCAAAAAAGATTTATTTATTCATACAGAAGTGGGGTACAAGCCTAAGGTCAGGGGAAGTGAGAGGCTTCACCAGAGACAGAGTAGAGAGCAGAACAGGCAGATCGACAAAATACACTGCTGAGGGGAGCAGCGGGCGGGTCAGGAGAGGTCTGCCACGCCATGTGGTCACCTCCGGGGCAAGGGATCGAACTCACACTGATGTGATTGCAGTGCTGCATCCTAACCTGTTGCGCCACCACGGAGGACCCTGTTCATACCATTTTACTTGTTTCACAGTAGTGTGTTGTGCTGAGAGCAAAGAATCACTACGTCACCATAAAAGGACTATCTTTACCTTAGCTATTATATTTTCAAGCATTTTATTTCTTACCCTTAGTCTACTAGACTTCTGATTTCATGTTCTCCTATGTAATTATAAGTCAGAATCTCTTGATTTCTGCCTCCTCGTGAGTTAAAGGAGCTAGTGATGTGTACCAAGTGGACTTTTGACAAGGGAGAAATATACTACTCATTGTGTCTTTCATGTAGTCACTCATTTACTTCACAATTCATGAATACCTCCTTTTTCATAGGCCCTTCCAATCGTTGTAGATGTACCCATGGGTCCTGCCTTTATGGAGTTCAGAATAATCGACATGAGCATA